GGCCTCTCTCATCTTTTTAAGTGGGAGAACTTGCACAATTGGTGACTGACTAAATACTTATTTTCCCCACTGTACCTAAAGTCCAGATCTGAACCATGGCTAAATAATGACACCAAAGCTCTGCAGAAGAGGTGGAGAAAAGACAGGCTGCAGGCTTCTGTTGAAATGCTAAATCAGAGCTGGTTTTCTTGTCAGAAAGCTCTAAACTAGTGAAATACAAATCTGATTTAATTGTCTGCAACTCTCACAACCCCCAAGTCCTCTTTTCCACACAGTCTCAATTCATGGGCTGCATCCTCATCAGTGAGCATTTGTTGGCCGCATACGTTACTGCCCTGCGCCGAGTGCTGTCCCAATTTGAAGGCTCCTCCTCATGCAGCCGAGGAACGCGGCCCACAAAATCTTTAAAAATCAAGGATGCATCCGAGTAGCCTTACCGGCCAAAGATATCCCAGGATTCAATGCACCAACAACAAACTAAACAGAGAAACGAAGACGGTGGAGATTTTATTTATTTTTTTACCAAGTTGGCGTAGTTTGGAAATTCATCACAGACTGAAGAATTTGTTTTTAAATGGAAGTTTAGCAACTTAGCTGATAAGTTGTTAAATAAAATTCAACTACAAGTACTGATTCTGGAGCTAAATTTGAATTATTAATGTATTTATTTATTTATTTATTTAATTATTTATTTTTTCATTCATTTACCTGTAACGTTTGAGCCACTGCTCCTCCACGTTGAGAGGAGCCAGTTGAGGTTGCTCGGGCATCTGGTTAGGATGCGTCCTGGACACCTTACCTGGTGAGGTTTTCCAGGCACGGTCCACTGGGAGGAGACCCAGAGGAAGACCCAGGACACGCTGGAGGGACTATGTTTCTCAGCTGGCCTRGGAAGGCTTTGAGATTTCCCCAGATGAAGTGGCTAAAGTGGCTGGGGAGAGGGAAGTCTGGGTCTCTCTGCTTAGGCTGCTGCCCCTGTGACCCAACCCTGGATAACCGGAAGAAAACGAACGGACGGACCATCATTTCTGTCTAGGCCTGTTTTCTGAGTTTTATTTTTTTTATTCTGTTGTAGAATGGTTAAAAAGTAATGTCTGACTTTCATTTGTTCAATTTTATAGAATTTTTTATATATTACTTTTGTCAGATTCAAGTTATTTCTGTGACCATTCTGGGTTTCTCCTTCATTAAACAAAGTGTACCAACAATTTTGTCCATGTGTGTATATGAACTCAGTGATCTGTCACACACCTGAAACAACTGTTAAGTGAAGTTATTTGATAGTTTTTAAGACCTAAAATGTGAACACAGATCTGACATTGAAGCTGTTAAAAAGGCCATTGTGTAGAACATCACCTGTAGAATAGAAAATGGGTTGTCCGTGATGAAGGAGGATGAACGAGATGAGCTCTCTCTTTTCTTCTCACGGAGAAATGAGGCTTCTTGGTTTCTCTTTATCCTTTCCAGCTGCTCCTCAACACTCATCCTTGTTCTAAAGACTTCTCGCTCACCAAATCCCATCTGATCCACTGAACTTCTGGGACGATCCTGAGAAGGACAACATTCAATGTACATTTTTCTTTTCAGATTAACCTCAGAGTTGATATAAAGCAATGCATTTCTCTGTGGTCTTATTCATTTGATTTGGCAAGCCTGAATTAGAGATCGACTGAACTAGTGTTAAAGCTACTTAAACAATTTTCGGTTGCGTATGTCTGTCTGTCTGTGGACAAAATTACTCACAAAAAACTTATAGATGGATTTTCATGAAATTTTTTACCACAGGTGGGTATTGGCCAATGGAACACACCATTAAATTTGGGGGAAGATCCAGATAAGGATTTTTTTGAAGGATTCTTCACTATTGCAGGATAGGGGAAATTAAAGATGTCAAAATTCTTCACACTTTCAAACTTTTTTTAATATGGTACCTTCACTGTATGGGCACAGAATATGTCTGGTTATTTTTGGAATGGTACTGTGTTATGACATTGATTAAATATTATTGTTCTACATGTGTTTTCTGATAAATATGCTGGAATAAATTGAAATTTAGATTTCCATCATTTACTTTAATGTTTGAATATATGCAACATGATGTTACTATATTTAGTATAAAGCATTGGGTAGGTCACTTTTCGAAGGGGGATCCTTTTTGCATAATTGGCTCCATGGCTTTGGCGACGGTTTGCACTCTCCAAGTACTTCTAGTTTAAACAATAATTTTGTCTTTTAGAATCAAGACAAACAGCAACAATTCCGCACAGTCAAGTCTAATAAAAACTAGAAATGCAAGCAGTTATGACTGGAGTCCAAGCCCCTTGACACACATTATCCCCAGCACCCAAGGACTTGTGAACTACAGAGTTATAAGTTTGTGGGGAGTAATTATAAGGTCTAGTTGAAGCCTCAGCAACTTTTTGAGACTTTGTGTATTTTTGTGTATATACACTCCTTTGCCAAACAATTGAGTCATCCATAGGTGGACAAGTGCACCTTTGTCCAATGACTATTACGGCAAGATCTCTACATGACCTAAAGTCTAATTTACAGTTATACAAGTCTTTTCAAAAAGATGAATTAAACCTAAAGGGATAGAAAAAAAATATTTCTGCCAGTCATCCCCATAGTAATGAATGTTAATTTATTCACTAGGTTCAGACGTAACTGTGATCATGCAGACACTAGGAGATAGAGTGAGAAACTTGGTCATCCGGGAGAAGCTCAGACTACAGCCGCTGCTCTTCCATGTCGAGAGGAGCCAGTTGAGGTGGCTCGGGCATCTGGTTAGGATGCTGTGGTGAGGTGTTCTGGGAATGTCCCACTGGGAGGAGACCCAGAGGATGACCCAGGACATGCTGAAGGGACTATTTTTCTCAGCTGGCCTGGGAATGTCTTGGGATTCCCCCAGGTGAGCTGGCCCAAGTGGCTGGGGAGAGGGAAGTCTGGTTCTCTCTGCTTAGGCTGCTGCCCATGCGACCTGACCCCGGATAAATGGAAGAAAACAGGCGGACGAACAGTGGCTGTGGTTGAGTTGTTGAGGCAGTCATTCTCCAGTATGAAAGTTGAGGATTTGGTTCCACCACTTTTCAGTCACATGTCAGGGTGTCTCTGTCTCTGGGTGGGACACTGAACCCTTCATTGCCTCTGGTGTGTCCCATTAGTGCATGAATGTGTTTTGGGTACTGATTGCTCGGTATGGAGTGGTTTATTTGGGTGGGCTTTGTGGGGAGGTATAGTGAAGTGCTGAATGGTTGCAGATTGTGTTGTGGTGTGCATTGGGTGTTCTGGTTGGATCAAAAGGTGCCATAAGGGTACAATCCATTTCACATTTCTGAATGGTACATGCCATAGAGTGCTGAACTTGGGATGAAACCCTCCATGCATTGAGGAATCTTGATGTCAGTGGCATCTGTCTCCTCCTTTGGTCAAAATATACTACCAGTGAGGCACTGCTTATATGTTGATTGACTATCCCACTTACTGTATATACACTCACCGGCCACTTTATACACCTGTCCAACTGCTCATTATTGCAAATGTGGAATCAGCCAATCACATGACAGCAACTCAATGCATTTAGGCATGTAGACATGGCCAAGATGATCTGCTGCAGTTCAAACCGAGCATCAGAATGGGGAAGAAAAGTGATTTAAGCAGTGGTGGACAAAGTACTCAACTCTAGTACTKGAGTAAAAGTATTGATACTCATGGTCAAATCTACTCCACTACAAGTAAAAGTTACTCAGTCAAAAATCTACTCAAGTAAAAGTACTGAAGTACTTACTTTTGAAAATACTTAAGTATTCAGAAGTACATGCATTTTAAAGTACTTAAGTACAAAGTAAA